TTTGCAAGGAACGACTAGATTCTTTTTAATCTGAATGATTTCATCTCATCATGTTATGCATTTTACTTTAATGGTTGGAACATTTATTTTAAACCAAGAAACCTAATGAGAGTCAATTGATTTTGCTCGTAGATCAAATAACCTAAACAAGCTGGAATTTCCATAATATGATAATAATAAATGCATTATCACCTTAGTTGTGAAATTATTGGTTTGACAAATTGACATTTAAAATGCTAGGAGATTGGATTGTCATCAAATATTTTTTTCATGATTGACTAGAAAATTTGTTGAGCTGCAATGAATCAGGTCAACAATAGTCAATTTGCCACTCAACATGGTTGCTGCATTTGCTATCTTGTCACAGACTTAGCTGGAATTGTCTAAGTCGTAAAGCACCCTTGCATTATCCGTCTGCAAAGGGTCAGCCTAGTTGCAACCTCGCTTAGGTCTCAAACAACCGGTAAAAGAACTACCTGATTAGTTCCAAAAACGAATGACGGACAAGTCCTGGCATCTCACAAAGAGGGTAGTTTTATAAGCAATTCAGCAAGCACTTGGTGTGCAAGAGATAAAAAAGAGAAAAGAGAAAAACAGGACTTAAGAAGACAAACGAACAGTTGCAAGTCCATAAACGAAACGATTGCTCACTGAGTGTAGAGTGTGTTGGCAAGTCTTCGTAGGTTTTACATGTAAACTTGTGAATTCAATTAACGCCCAACACTATCTAAAACCGCCATCTAGCTCTGTGTCACCCGGGTGGTTCTAGGGTACTGAGATGGTTGACACTTTGCACTGCACCACAACTTGCAGAAAACAGGTCATGACACATGAAAATTAGGCCATGATGGGGTACTTTTAACTTTTGCCCATTCTGGTGAGCGATCGCTCTACAACCCTGCAAACTGTTTCTACTCATAGTTTTCAATAAAAAACACATAAAACTAGGTAAAACACATTGTCAAACATATGTAAAAGCAAACAAAAGCGACGAACGGTCTGTTCACGAAGGTGTTGTGGGTGCGCGACGATAGTCCACGACAATCCAAAAGAATGACATGCTAATTGAGCCATTGAGGTACTTCTGGCTTGAGGCACATCTTGTGTTCTGTAGGTTAGTATTGCGAAATTTAGTATATGTTACCTTTGCTATAACTTGTATGCTTCCTTACCAGCAGAACATGAAAAATGCACGACTGTTGAAAAGCTGAGTACCATCAACCTAGTGCCTTATGTAGTAGACTGCCTGGTATTTGAAGCATCTGAAAACGTTTATTAAAAAGTTCCAGTGCTTTATCAAATGTCGCTACATGGAATTTTGTGCTTATTGTGGTCTTAATTAGTCAACAAGCAGCCCATTTGAAAAGTTAAATGGTGCTATTGGAAATTATAGGACTTGTTGGTTGATGTAGAATTGTGATAGAGGTCTATTTTTCTTGAAATGGCCTCATCTGTGAACATATATTCAAGTTCACTGACTTGGGGTTAGAAGTTTGCATAAAATAATTATAATCTTGTTTATCCTTGTGAATCTGGAAGCAAATCTACAAATAAAAATAGGTACTCGCCAACCACTTTGCATTATACTTCTTTTTTGATCCATGATGCTTGGTGGCTTAACATAGTTAAAATGATAGACCAAGGAACAGCTTCATCAATCATGAGCATTTGCAACTTACCTCTAGTAGTTAATTATTATCAAAAATTAAGTGATAGTGAATTCCTTATGTTAATTTTCCAGCATGGACGAATGCTTTTACCAATGGATACAACAGCTGAAGGACCAATCTATGTGAATGCAAAACAGTTCAATGCAATTATTCGCCGTCGCAAAGCTCGAGCTAAGGCTGAGAAAGAGAACAACTTGATTAAAGTTAGGAAGGTATGCAATAGATGTGAAGTTTTCAACATATTGAGATTCATGTATTCCTGTATGACCAATAATAACAGTAGCTACTATTTATTTGAGCTATCTATTTTTGGCAGACCATATCAATCTTTTAAGGGGCTCAATATAATTAATTTGCAGTCGTTTCATTTTATATACCATCTGGTGGCTAATACTTGTGACACATTTAATTTACATTTTTATAACAGTCAAAAGAATCATCATATATTTACTGTAGGAGGCATCATCCTTACTTTTCTTTTACTTATATATGGTCTTAGATTCCATTGTATGCTTATTGAGTTTTCTCTCTCCTGCAGCCATATATGCATGTGTCGCGTCATCTTCATGCAGCGCGCCGAGCTAGGGACTGTGGTGGTCGTTTTTTTAACACCAAAAAGGAAGTAATTGCACAGGCTGGGAACACTGGTCACAAGGTGAATGATGTGGTGCCTCGTCTCCCTGCTGCATCTCCAAGCTCTGAAGTCCTGCAATCTGACAGCTTAAATCTCAACTCAGCAAGGGGTGGGTCAAGTGGATCAGGATCAGAGGTGACCAGTGTGTGCACTCTCAACGATGTTGATCACTTTGGTGCCATTCAGCATCTACATCCATCTGTTTTGCATTCTCTGTCAAGTGTGATGAATGGGGGACAAAGTACCAGTGTTATCCACAGCAAGTGGGGTTCAGCAGCCGATGGCTGCTGTGATCTCCTCAATGTCTGATGAGAGTGATACTGGGAGGGTTGCTGGAAGTTGCAGTATTTGCATCCTTAAGCCGAGTATTTTCAGCTTGAGAGCAGTGCCATGACCTGGTAACTTCCCCTCCAAAACTAAATACGACCAGATGGAAGAGCTGACTAATGGCATGCTATCATTTGGTTGTTTTTAGAAGGCAATTCATTCTTGGCTCATCTTCATCAGACTTTCAGAATCACCAACAGTTCTAAGAAATCTTGCAGTCTCGGGACAGTGATGATGGAAGTCCTCTATGCACTGTAACAATATGGACAGGGCTTGTGACACCAAGTATCAGAAGTATTAGTAGTCAGATACCTGTGGGCATTGTGGCCCTGGAGTTTGCTTGCTTGATTGAAACCTTGTTTGCTAAGTCCTTGTGACAATGTGAAGTTGTGGCTTTGGTATTATTTCTCACAGTGAAAGCGGTCTTACATTGGATGAATCTATATGTTTAGGACCTTTCAAATAATGTTGGTGATCTATTTTGCTCCATTACAGGTCTCCTAATGAAGATATTATGGCACTGATCACAACTGAAATAATGGTTTGATGTGAACAAGGTCTTCCTGAACATTGTAAGTGCAGATGGTTGCTCCTTGAACTGGGGACCTGATAACAAATCCCTTTGGAAAATTTGCCTTTTATGTGCAGCTAGATCATCATCTGGACATCATTGTGGCAGTTTGGTTTTCCTTTTCACTTTCCCTCTTTACTCTTCACATTGCTCCTTTTTCACATGGATATGATGATCCACAGGGGGGCTTCTGGTGTCTTTATGATGGCTTCTTCCTCATGCAAGTCAACAAAGGAAGACTAGTACCAGAAAGCCTACCAATTCAGAAAGATGTCAGCTAACCTACATGACCTAGGTTGAATCTTCTACTAGCCCATAATATAATCTATTAGCTCAGCTTTTTGAACATGTTTGGTATCTCGAATTTGAAATACATGAATGACTGAAGGAAGCTAGGGTTCATATAATTTTCATGTGATCAGTTTGGTTAGAACAAATCTATTAATTAGATGTATCTTCCAGTAAATTTCACCTGAGTATGTTGTAGCTGAATATTTTGTCTGCATTATGTGATTCATCTATGCAGCATGCTGATGAGCAATCCACCATTGCATTTAGCCCCTCAGCATATATTTGCTCAGCCAAGGCAGCCTCCATGAGAAAGCTCTCTAGTCCCTGTTTCTCAATGTGTTGAGAAACAGCTTTTTGCAGCTTTCAATGATAAATTAGTATATTTCAGGGAAAAAGAATTTACTTTAATAAGGGGACAGGGGAAAAAGTGTTAATCTTGACAGGTAGTTAGAATTCAACTGGTAGTTTTATTTTTATCTTTTTCTCTCACAAGCTACTAAAAGTAGCTTTTGATAAATGCCTAAAATAAAAGATTAGCACCTGTGATTAAGTGTTTATTTATAGCACAAGATGCAGTTGATCTATTTATGTCAACGACCCACAAAAAGTATTTTATTCTGAAATTGGGCATAAGATCCCATAAGTTCACTCAAGATTACAATTAGATCAGAAGGCACCTTAAAACTAATGCACATTTATGATCCACAAAGAGAAAGAGATGCACTGCCATAGCATCTTCTCATGCTGTTTTACATTATTTATTTATCATTGTCAACCACCTTCCTAGAACCTGGTTGGAAGAACATTGAGGGAACCTAAAGAAGCCAAACACCACCTAAACTCAAAACAGAAGCTTCCTTTTCATAGCATTCATTTACATACATATAAGATGATACATTCGTATCCTTCCATAATATGGTTATAATATATATATATATATATATATATATATATATATATATATATATATATATATATATATATATATATTCACCTGTTTCGTAGGTTTTTCATCATTTCAAACACTCTTTAGGCTTTACCTACCCAGCACCTCAGTACTCGCTCAGTTACCTGCGTGGAGACCGGAGGAACAGGTTAACGAACAGATGGGACCCATAGTGGTCCCACCGATGAGCCGTAGGAAATGGCAACCTTTGTTTTCTTACGTTGGTTGAAGGCACCCAGCGGTACCTCTGTTCTGCCATTTGGTTAACCTGTGGCTCCCACCTGAAAAAAAAAAGGAGTGCTACGAAAAACAAAAACGGGTAAAACATGGATTTCTATGGAAAACGCGGACATACACCCGTCGTCTTCGGGAGTCCTACCTGATCAACACCGGCATCACAGCTGGTGGGTCCCATGTAGCCGCGGTCACGTTCGATCGGACGTCCGTGGCATCATAACGGAGAAACGATGCGGGTACCGTTCGGATGGGTATGTGTAGGTTTAGAAACCTGAAACCTTTAATTGGACGTCATTAACAGATAGTTGGGAAAAGGACAAAAAAAGAAGTGAAAAGAACACGGGAGGAACGAAAGGGTTCTCTCTCGCTTCATTTCTCTCATCCACTTTAATTCCCGGATTAATTCCGCTTCAATTCTTATTTCCCGTCTGCCTGGGCGAAAGATCGACAGAAAAGAGTCCAACGGAAAAAGGCGATCGCTCCTTCTCCTCCTCTCATCCAAGATTCTCCCTCGCGAGCCGATACGGGCGGGCGATTCCGATAGATTGGGGCCTCCTTCTTCGCCGGCGGCGGCGGCGGCAGCGGTCGAGTTGAATTGCTGAACCTGCCCCGGACAGCGGTGATGCCGAAAGCGCCGGGGACGCTGCGGAGGAGCAGCGCTGTCCGGTGGACCGAGTCCTAGGTCGACACCCTTCCCTGTACCCGATCCCCTCCCCCGCGACGAGCTGCTGCTATGGAGGTTGATTCGACGATGTCGACGGAGTCCGGCCACGATCCGGCTGCTGGGAACCACACCGGGAACCCGAATGAGCCCTCCTCGTCGCCGTCCGCTCCCGGGGCCGTGCCTCCGGCGGAGGCGCAGCCGGTCGCGGCCGGGCCGAGGCCTGCGCCGGGGTACTCGGTGGTGAATGCTGTCATAGAGAGGAAGGAGGATGGCCCGGGTTGCAGGTGCGGCCACACTCTTACGGCCGTGGCGGCCGTCGGTGAAGAGGGAACGCCTGGGTACATCGGGCCGCGGCTTATACTCTTTGGAGGAGCGACAGCGCTCGAGGGCAACTCAGCTGCTCCAGCATCACCGACCGGAAGTGCTGGCATCCGTATGTCCTCTCTCTTCTCTAAAGCCTCGATTCTTAAGCTGATGCATAGTTGTGGATCCCCATTTTTAACATATTGGAACCCTAATTCTCGTTACAGAAAGAATCTCGGTCAGTGGTTTGAACTGAGATAGTTCTGGAGTTTTGGGATCTTTATCGAACTCTTAGGAACCTAGCTTAGGCATTCAGAAAAAAATGGGTAGGACCGGATGAAGAAAAAAAATTCGAATTATGCTATTTGACGAACTATACGTTGGCTTCTATATGAGCGGTTTAGTGTGTGTTAGATTGTAACTATGAAGATCTGCTATTGCAATTGTTTTCTATTGCTGATTCCTCGCTGGGTTGCAGGTCTTGCAGGTGCAACAGCTGATGTTCATTGCTATGATGTGCTCTCTAATAAATGGACAAGGTAAGTTTCATTAACAAGTTGATAATTCATTTATATTTGATACATCGAATTCCATGAATTTGTAGTTGATTTTGTTTTATCTAGCAACAACAAGTTCTTTGAGAACAGCATCTTGTTCATGGTCTTTGGATGTGAGTATCCCTTCAAGAAATTGTGTGATATTTATTTAGCTATCATGAGTGGTCCTGGTATGTGTTTTCAGGGTGACACCTCTTGGAGAACCCCCATCACCCAGGGCTGCACATGTCGCAACTGCTGTGGGTACTATGGTGGTAATTCAGGTAGTCTTATACATTGCATTCAGTAGCTTTACTGCATGATTCTTTAATTAAGATAGTATGCACTTTCTAACATGACTTAACCTTTAGTGAGAAAGTAAACCACTTTGAATACATTCATGGGAAGATTTTATCTTTTGCGATCTATTCAGGGTGGAATTGGCCCTGCTGGTTTGTCTGCCGAGGATCTTCATGTTCTGGACTTGACACAACAGCGGCCACGGTGGCATAGGTCATGGTCACATCAACATGACAGTTTTGACTATTATATCGACTTTCTACTTACCAATGCTGAAATAAAATTCTTGCACATAGGGTTGTTGTCCAAGGACCTGGTCCAGGAGCACGTTATGGGCATGTGATGGCTTTAGTTGGGCAGAGATTCCTACTGACAATTGGTGGAAATGATGGTCGGTTCTTTTTGTTTGTATAAGTAGGAGCTTGGTTTTTTGTACCAAAAAGAATTAGTATATGTGTTTGCATTTTCTATAGATGAGTTTATAAAAACAAGTTATGATGTCAGGAAAGCGACCTTTAGCTGATGTTTGGGCCCTAGATACTGCTGCCAAACCATATGAATGGAGGAAGTTGGAACCGGAAGGCGAAGGTCCACCTCCGTGCATGTGAGTAATCTAAGCTGTTATTCTTTTAAAAGAGTGGTCTTGTTATATATTATGTCATGTAGGGGCAATCTGGTAGATGAGTGTTTCTATACTGCATGTCCTAGTTGTTAATGCTTTTTATATATTAAGTATTGTATAATTACAGGCCTTTCATCCATTTATGCTTTTTATCTAATCAATGAATGTTAGAAGCATGTAAAGATTGCTTATTTAATGTCATGAAAATGTTTTTTGATCAATAAATGTTTTCTAAAATTGGATAACTTAATTTTGTTGACTAGCTGATTGCAGATTTTTAGTTCATGCTTTGTATCAGCTAGAAGTTAATCATTGAATAGGCTGATCTGTTCAATGCTAGTGTTTTAGCCATGACCATTTGAAATTATGATTTTTTTGGTTTCTTATTTTGGTATAGAAATCTCCTTAGCATTTGTTTGGTTATTTAGGCCAAGAGAATGTTTAAAATAAAATTTTACATTCTTGAATATGAATGTGCCATAGTCCTAACAGGCATCATATTTAGCTCCAGACATGTCTTTAATTAATCTAATATTCTAAAATTTTCTTTTGTGACTATATTGCACTTACTTTGGATGGAAGAATAAAATCATGGGCTTGGTTTTCTAGCATGCTTATTAAGTATAATTACTAATCCTTAACCTTCCTAGAACCTTGCACTCTCTGCTTTATACTAGATTTCTAGGTCCGCTACAAAGTGATATACTTTTATGGATAATTTCACTGGTATCCTGGTAACCATTGATAACTAGGATTGATGCACTGAATAGTGACTTAAATCACTTGCTTGATGTATTTGAGGATATTCTGTATTATTGTGCATCATCTGTTTTATCACTTGCTTGATTAGTTGCCTCTTTGGATGTTCCATATTTTTTTCTGAATGCTGCATATCCTCCTTGTGATTTGTTTCTTGGTGTTTAAAAAATACTTTAATTTTACTTCTATTGGATTTTCTTTTACAAATAAAATAAAGTTCATACTTGTCCATTTTATTATTTCCTCGATGGTAGTAATTTATGTCTTAAAATGTGTTTCATGCATACTGAGCTGATGCTGAAAAATTTTATCAATTAATTATATTCTTGATGTTGTTATATTGTTGGATATCATATTCTTATCTGTTATATAAGCACCTTCTATGATTTTGGGTTGTTGACATTGTTTTTAGGCATAAGTGGTTATGACATAAAAGTATGATGAACTGCGACAATCATTTAATTAGAATTATCATGCTAGATAAATGAAATCAGAAAACCTTTGGCACCATGATAAGGTTGTTCATTGTCACTTGGGTGATTAAGGTTTGAGTAATAGAAACAACCTTCAAGCATATAGGGCTAAGATTATATATTTGAATCTCTATAGACCCTGCATGTCGGGAGCCTCATACTTATTCCAAATCAATTCCTAATTAATTTCTTTGACCTAAATTGACTCAACTGCAATTTACTCAATGTTATATTGTTTGGATCTAGTTATTGGCTTCCTGGATGCAAACACTTGTAATGGCCAATTGTGGTCGTGCTGCCACTTGTCTTTTGAGACTGAACTCTATATCTGTAGCATATCAGTTGTTTAAGCTTTCAGGTGAAAGCTGTGAAGAATTTGATTATAGAATGTAATGCTGGCTAAATTTATTTTTAAATTTTAATCCAATAATGACTATTTAAAAATTCTTCATGGCCAGTTTCAGGAGTGGAATTTTTTATGCATAATATTTAAATAAGGAATTGTATGATTACTCTTACCAGTGATTGTTGTCTTTTCAGCCATGATATATGTTGATGTGGTTGATTGTTCTCATCTTAGGTATGCAACTGCAAGTGCACGCTCTGATGGTCTTCTTTTGCTTTGTGGTGGGAGGGATGCAAATGGTGTGGTAAGTAAACAATGTTGCTTTTGAATAATGGTTTAACTATATGCAAAGCAGAAAAAGTAAGTATTATTAGTGCTGTGGTAAGTTGCAATTTTGAATTATATGATATTTCAATTTGTTTTCACCAGGTGATTTCCATATTCTGCCTTGCAAGGATCCAATGCATATTAGGTGAATTTAAATACCTTAAATTTACAGATATTTCTGAAATTTGGAGAATTTTTGGAACATAAAGAGAGAAACTAAATTCATAGATACTTTGGGTAATAAAGTATATGAGAAGAATTAGAGGAAGAAAATTGTTAGTGCAGTAGACCTGTGGAACATAATACATTCTGCTAATATTAGTGTGTATGCTACCCACAGTTGAAAGTTGATGTGAACACAAGCAAAAGTATCAAAATAAATATTATAAAGGAGTTAGTTAGGATTGAGTTATATATATTTAACTTAAATAATCTTTGAACATAAGTTATACTCTTTCCATTATATTGTTCAAAACAATGGTTTCTTTGCCTTTGTATGTATCTTCTGTCAGTAACACAGTTCATCACTTACAGGATCTTCACTTTGATTCCACTTAGTTTACAGCTAGAGCACCAAAAAGCTACAAATGCTAAAGATTAAGTTATCTGATTATTCTGATGATACTGGATCCAAAATCCAGTAAATTAGGACTTTGTTGATAAAAAACTGAGTAGGGAAAATGTATGGAAAAGCAGAAGTAGCAGGAGAGTTGTTATGTCTAAACAACAAAGGAATAGGGAATAAATATATCCATGCTTTTGAGAGAAAATTGCTTGTTCCAGTTGCTACAACCAATGATCTAAATTCGAAACAGTGGCTACATTATGGGGCAGTCAAGGAACCACAATGTCCAATAGGGTATAAATATATCAATGCTTTCGAGAGAAAATTGTTGGTTCCAGTTGCTGCAATCAATTATCTAAATTCAAAACAGTGGCTACATTATGGGGCAGTCAAGGAACTGCAATACACATATTCCACATGGTTTCAGTAAAGTTATCAGAGTAGTTTATAATCAAGTACGAATAAAGAATATTATTATATGGCACTAACGGATGATATATGTACTCATTTATTAAATCATTATGTGATAAGCAATTAAAAATGAGTAAAGCTCCAAATGATTCTTTTCTATTTGTTGATTGTCTTTTAACATAAGAACTATTTGGTTGTGGCAATATTAAATTTAACATTTATAAGAACAATTATAATAAAAGCAAAATAAAATCTGCAAATGTGATTGCATATCCATGCTCAAACTTGATACATGTATCATCCGGAGGTTCCTTTTGGGTTAATTCTTTAGGTCAACCATAAGTCAACTGATCTAACTAGCCTGAATTGTTGTCCTGAATAATGTTCTCAGTGACCAAGATGCTAGGATTCTTGTAAGACTTCTAACTAGCCTGAATCGTTGTCCTGAATAATGTTCTCAGTGACCAAGATGCTAGGATTCTTGTAAGACTTCCCTATCATTGTCTTTCGTTTTACATAATCTGTTCAGGAAAAAATGCCTACTGAGATTTTAATAACTTATCTGGTTTCATAAGCAATCTGTGGAGCATTTCCTAGGCTGCTAACTACAAATGGGATATGTCCTGTTCATAAGTGAGCAAACCAGCTTGTAGGATTATCTGAACTATTGTAGATACTGTGTGTTGTCTATATTACTGAATAGGTATTTTATGATTGATTTACATATATGTTACTCCTGCAGCCTTTATCAAGTGCATATGGTCTTGCAAAACACAGGGATGGTCGTTGGGAGTGGGCTATTGCTCCTGGGGTCTCTCCATCTCCGAGATACCAGCATGCTGCTGTGGGACTTACATTTTGTTTTTCTCTTTTGTTTTTTGTTATTGTTGTTTATGTGTTATAACTAAATCTGTAGTTGTACATATATCAATAATCTTGTAGGTATTTGTCAATGCAAGACTTCATGTCTCTGGAGGGGCTCTTGGTGGTGGACGCATGGTTGAAGATTCTTCAAGCATAGCAGGTAGTTGATAGTTATGGATTAAAAAATTTAATTTTTAAGGTACACCAACTCTGTGTTTGGCTTGTTCGATAACTGGATGTGTTAACTCCTATCATATATTAGCCTGTGAGATAATTGACTGGTTGCTGAAGCATGGAAGTTGAGTTATCGTATTTTAGAGTATGCTAAGACAACATGCTTTCTGAATTATATTGATGTTTTGAAAATTTTACTGATATCAAGCACGTCCTAGTCTACCATTTATATTTGAGAAGGGAATCTCAAGCTCAAACAAAAATTATTGAAATGGAAAAATGAGTATTACAAAGGAACAGTGATGACATTGAATTCAGTGTGTGTGAGAGAAGGGTGATGCTTGATCAGCTGGTAGAACCAAATTGCTTCGTTGATTAATGATGCAATATGAGTGGATGGTATTTGTCCGGCTATTGGAAGCTTAAATGTGTATGATGGAGGTATGATAATCAATGAAGCTTTAGCTAGTTGGGATAGCATTGGTACAGAATAGTTTAACTTTTCTAATATAAATATTGAAACTAGTTAGACATTCTAGGGGATACATGGTGCCTTCATGAGGTCTTTATGGATTTGTGTGAGAAGATCTTGATATTCCAGTAGTTCAATCCATGGACTACTTTTTACTACTTATAACTCAGGCATAAATACCTTAGGCAACGTGGCAAGATCTGTCATACAAGTTATAGGGTAGTACGTTCACGTGTTGCTATTGGATGTCTTGAAATCTTGAATTTCATGGTCTAATATATTTGTATTCTAGGTGTGAGTTTACTACATAACCTGTTATATGCTTTGTTTGGTTTAGTGCTGGATACTGCTGCTGGAGTTTGGTGTGATACAAAGTCTGTTGTTACAAGTCCCCGGCCAGGGAGGTACAGTGTTGATGCAGCCGGTGGAGATGCTTCTGTTGAGCTAACAAGGCGTTGTAGGCACGCAGCTGCTGCAGTTGGTGATCTAATTTTCATATATGGAGGACTACGTGGTGGTAAGAATTGAATCCTTTTATTTTGTTTTGGCACATGTTATTTGATTGATTTGTAATACCTAGAGGTCAATTACTGTATCTCTTAACTGAGACATTCTCAGTTTATATTCTGCTTCATTACATTGCATGAAGTTTTTTGGTTATTCTACAAGCATTTATGCCTACCTTTTTTGTTGTTTTTATTAGTAATCTGATAAATTCTTCATTCACTCTATTTTTGTAACCTCCAATTTTTTGATGACAGTACTTGCAGCATTTATACAAGTTAAATTATCTATACTGAGAGTGGATAGATAAAATCAAGGCTTTCAGAGAACTTCTAGTCATGGTTTTAAGGGCCATGTCATACCGAGCATAGGTCCAAAACACATAGTCCAAAACCAAGGAGTTCTGTTGGATTGAAGTATTTCAAATAAGAATCATTAAATGTATATTGGTAATGACCTTTAGCCTATCTTGCCATTACAACAAAACAAAAAAGCCGTAAACTTCTAACTTAGCTACATATCTTTTGCCATCATTGAGACATGTAAAAAGCATATGTTTAGTTACGGTAAAAATATTTAAATATTTATTTAAAGTTTCTATTAAAAATGTTTTAGGTCTTCCTCTTCCTTTCCTTGTTACCACTAATAATATTCATTCTAATTTTTGAACTACTATATCTGTAGATCTCCTGAGCAAATATTCATATCATCTTAAATGATTCTTTATTATTTTATCATTTATCAAAGTGATACTTATTTTTTTCTCTTTTTTAGTAAATTCACACATCCATCTCAACATTATCATTCTACCGATAGGTCCTTTGCCTCCAAAACTTTAATCCTTCTTTCTGGTATCATCCTAGGATTTCATTTGTTTGCTTGCTGTTGGAATTACTATTAGCTGCCATGTAATCATGCTTCTACAAATATATGAATGCTTATGGAATGTTAATTTTATCTGGTTGTTTTCTATTATAGACAATTGGTAAACATTCCTTCGGTATTAGCATGTAATCCGTACTGCAAACTACTTCAATTTTTGAGATAATGCATTTTAGCTATTTGAACCATTCATATATTTGTTTTATTTTATGTAATATCTTTATGTTTGTGGTAGCATCAATCAACAGCTCTCTGAACCGCACAAGGAAAGAAGAAATGACTGTCTACTAGCATAGTTATCCTAAAAGGACAATGTTTGAAAAACCACCGACTTCAAAGACTTGTCAGATTAGTGAGATCAAAGTCTTATAAGCACAGGTGGTAGATGATAAAGGATGGATTCACACCCATTGCTCTGTTTCTGAATATAAACGTGTATGAACTATTCATCATCTTAAATAGAAGCATATCTTTATTGGTTGACCCGTATGGAAATACCTGGAGTGTCTAACCATCTATACGAACCTTTTTTGGTTTTCAATTCTATCTGACATTCTGGATCAGTTTAGCTATTTTGTTTATCTAGTTTTCGTTGGATTAAAGCGCACCAAGATCATAAGTGCAAACCCTATGAATACACTGGGATTTTTCTATTTCTGAATGCTGCATTTATGATGCCTATTTAGGTCCATTGGTTAGCTCTTTCATTGTTGATATCCATCAAGTTTTGTCACTTTAGTTTTAGCTAGATGTTTTTTGTTGCAGGTGTTCTGCTTGATGACCTACTTGTTGCCGAAGACCTGGCTGCTGCTGAAACAACAAACTCGGCTTCCCATGCCGCTGCAGTAGCTGCTGCTTCAAATGTACAAGTAGGAAGATCAGCTGGAAGATACATGTTTTCTGATGAAAGATCAAGGCAAAGTAGTCCTGAAGCAGTTCCTGATGGTGCAGTTGCCTTGGGAACTCCAGTGGCTCCTCCTGTCAATGGAGATATGTTTGCTGACATAAGTACTGAAAATGCTCTGTTCCAGGGATCAAGGTAGCATACTGCTTAGGTTTAGGATTTGTCAAAGCATTTTATTTGACTTAATATATCTGGATTTTTTTTGTAGACTGCGAATCTTTTTAGTTCCTTTGTATTTCACTAGAATGGATTTGCTGGAATTTATTTTGAATCATTACTTGGGACTTATTTGGTTTCAGGAGACTGAGCAAAGGTGTTGAATACTTGGTTGAAGCCTCAGCAGCAGAGGCTGAGGCAATTAGTGCTGCTTTAGCTGCAGCCAAAGCTCGGCAAGTTAATGGTGAGGTTGAGCAATTGCCTGATCAAGCTCATGGTTCAGAGGCTACTCTAGGTGGAAAGCAAGTGTGTAACCTGAGTAAAGCATCAGATTCTTCGCTACCTAATAATGGCACACCCACTGGGGTCCGACTACATCACAGAGCGGTCAGTTCACTGAGACATGAAATTTGCTCCCTTGCCATAGTTCTGCCAGAATATATGAAATAACATAACTTTGTTATTCATTTGAGAAAATAGCTATTAGAGGGAAAAAAAAAAAAACAATAGCTGCTTTGTTGGGTCATGAAATAACAGTATCCTTTATGCAGGTCGTCGTTGCTGCCGAGACAGGGGGTGCATTGGGTGGTATGGTTAGGCAGCTCTCAATTGATCAGTTTGAAAATGAAGGCAGAAGGGTCAGCTATGGCACTCCCGAGAGTGCAACTGCAGCTAGGAAATTATTAGATCGGCAAATGTCAATCAACAGTGTGCCAAAAAAGGTAAAGATAGTTAGATATAGTATGTTTGTACTGTTCATGAAGGTGTAGTCTTGTATTTTTCCCTTGCTATTTAATAATCAAGAGGCTTTTTATGTGAATTTTTTTAATCTTGGTAAATTATCAGCATGTAATATGGATTCAAAATAATTTGTTTTAACATTTTATACTTCCTTTTTTCTTATTTTACTACAAACCGAAGTGAAAGAGTTCAGACCAAGGCATCAGAATGACACTTATGCTATCTTATTAATGATGTATGTAAAGTATGTGTTTGCAGATAGTGACTTCACCTCATGCTTTCAATATATAGGTTATTGCTCATCTATTGAAACCCCGTGGTTGGAAGCCCCCTGTCCGCAGGCAGTTCTTCTTAGACTGCAATGAAATTGCTGATCTCTGTGATAGTGCCGAAAGAATATTTACTAGTGAGCCAAGTGTTTTGCAAATTAAGGCTCCTGTCAAAATCTTTGGTGATTTACATGGTCAGTTTGGAGATCTCATGCGTTTGTTTGATGAGTATGGTGCCCCTTCAACAGCAGGCGACATAGCGTAAGTTTGTTTTTACTACATTAGATACATCAATTATGATGAGGCTGGATTTCTTTTGTAGATTGATCTTTTCTGGAAGTTATCTAATACAATATAATTTGTCATTAAATTAGTGTAAAACATTATCGATCTTTTTTATCTTGTTCCCTTGTGCTTTAACATGTGTATGTCAGCCAACAAGCTCAATTTTTTCCACCCGTATGGCTTATATTGAAGTGCAAATAGGTGGCCATTATTCACTTATAGTTCTTAGTTCTTACAACACAATAGGGTGCTATGTTCCCTGTTCTGAAATATATCATGTATTGTTCATTCCCCACTTTCTCTGAATATAATGGTGTTTTACTTTTTCCACTTTCAGTTATATCGATTATCTCTTCTTGGGTGATTACGTTGATCGGGGCCAGCATAGTCTGGAAACTATTGCTCTTCTCCTTGCATTGAAGGTTATTGTATATAATGCAAGCAAGCTCTTAATTAGATCCAATCTTTTTTTGCAAATATTTTTTAAGAGAATAGTCATCTAAGGAGCCAAATAAAAAATATGTTAATTGATATTTTCAGGTTGAGCATCCTCACAATGTACATTTAATTCGTGGAAACCATGAGGCAGCAGATATTAATGCTCTATTTGGGTTCCGGACTGAGTGCATTGAGCGAATGGTATTATTATTTACCCTTTACTGCTATTATTGAAATTATTGAGTAAAGTTTGCTCCTTATTGTCATTTTTCATTATTCGGATACAGGGTGAGCGTGATGGAATCTGGACTTGGCACCGCATTAATCGACTATTTAATTGGCTACCATTAGCAGCTTTAATTGAGAAGAAAATTATCTGCATGCATGGCGGAATTGGTCGGTCAATAAATCATGTAGAACAGATTGAAAACCTTCAACGACCCATCACCATGGAAACAGGCTCAGTAGTTCTTATGGATTTACTATGGTCAATATTCCAACAGCTAAAAGAAAATGACTTCTTTGTTAGGTATGTGTGTTCTGGTCTGTCAGTACATAATTGTCTGGCATTTTTCTTATCCATGCAGGTCTGATCCAACGGAGAACGATAGTGTTGAGGGCTTAAGGCCAAATGCCAGGGGTCCAGGCCTGGTTACCTTTGGGGTTAGTGATTTTACCTTTGATTTTTTATTCTGCTGTTTTTTGCTAGTTTGTTAAGATTGATTGCTTGTTGTGGCCACAGCCTGACCGAGTTATGGAGTTCTGCAATAATAATGACCTCCAGTTGATAGTTCGAGCACATGAGTGCGTCATGGATGGTTTTGAGCGTTTTGCTCAGGGTCATTTGATTACTCTTTTCTCTGCAACTAATTATTGCGGTAAGGATTGGTTTTCATGATGTGCCTAGATGTCTGTATTTAGGTATTCATCCCTGATTTTTTTTTTTGGTCTATAAACAGGCACTGCAAACAATGCAGGCGCAATCTTGGTTTTGGGCAGAGATCTTGTGGTTGTTCCAAAGCTGATTCATCCTATACCACCTGCCGTAAGTTCACCTGAAGCATCACCAGAGCATCACATTGAAGATACATGGATGCAGGTATGGCATAATTTCTTTCAGTCTACATCTTTGGATCTTTGATGTTTACAGTATAACTGTGAGTTTGTAACCACCACCAGATGTTTTGGGGTTTCTGACCCTTTTCCCTTTTTCATGTTTCATTAGGAGCTCAATGCCAATCGACCACCGACACCTACCAGGGGCCGTCCTCAAGTGGCAAGTGATCGGGGTTCTCTTGCCTGGATTTAGCCATCTTTGATGTCGCAGTCGTTCGTGTTCTTTGGTCTGAGGCTCCTGGTGGGGGTTTGCCCAACCCATTCTTTTTACAACCAGGCATACGGGTTTCTGAGATAACCATCCAAACTTGTAAAGATCTAGATGATTCCAGATAGGGAGAGCTAAATCCAAAAAGATGCATAGTAGCTGATGTTGATGGTTCAGGGTCATCATCCTGTAAACTGAAACCCAGGCTGTTGGTTTACCTGCACCAGGAAGAAATGGATTCGAAATTGCCTCACTGACCGAGAGAAGCTTCACGCCTGTATATTCTGCTTGAGTAGGCTAGTGTATGTGGTCGTGTCATCTCTTCAAATCAATAGGCTTACCATGCCATGGCGGGTATTCTTTATGTTTACATCTCTCCTTTGTAGAAGACATAATGTTGATGGTGAAAGCAAACGTTGAGTCGGGCAATTCTGTGAGAAATCCTGTATAATAAATATAGTAGATTTTTTCTTTCTTAGCACTCGTGCCATGTAATTTGTGTGATTGTGTTCTGTACAACGCAGTTTGGGATGAAGACCGACGATCAAGGTTGACCTAAGATTGCTGGATCGTTGAGTCGTTTATGAACACATGAGTCGTCTCCGTGTTCTCTGAGGTTTTTCTTTACTTCTTCTATTAATTTGAAATAAAAATCTGACACTCAAATATAGATTTCATCTCATTTACAATTGACATATTTTTGGGGGGAGTCAGTTGGTTACTGTTATAACACCATCTAGTGTTTTTTTATTTTCCTATTTATTATCTAACTTTTATTGGTTGATGGAATGATAATTGAAATTTGAAGTTTTTTCATTTTATTTCGTTTAAGTTAATCTAATGCTTGCAATTAAATTACATAAAAACTAAAAATCTCAAAAATAAAAATCCTCGCAAATCCTGATCACTTTTCTTGTAAACGTTGGGAAGAGAAACCAGCTAAAAAAACCATGTGTGAAGTGTTTTCTAGAAACATAAATACAAAGATAGTCTCATTGAATTTTCAAAAAACAAAAGTTATTCCCTAACTAACTTTTGGCGCCCAAGTCATCCAGCGCGGGCATTTGCCAAAGAGAGAAAGTCGAGACAATGGGATCCTGTTCAAGTCTGCTTGTGTCTTATGAGTTCCATCATCTTGACCATCTGCCACGTGTGACAGGCGGACATCCATAACATATGGCGACGGATGGTAACGAGAGAAGTGTCAGGAATGGTAGACTACGTATTGGAGAGGATCCCAACTTACGGTGAGAACACGATTTGTCTTTGCGTTCGGTATTTTTTCATATCAATCCTTATGAAGTTTGTAAATAACATATACGACCCTATTTAAATGTGGAAACATTCCTACAACACGTTAATCCATATTGTGATAGAGACATATATGATAAACTATACTTTGTAGGGGGTAAATTGGAAAATTACATACCATGGAGGTATATATATGAGGGAAGACGATATTGTGGCACATTTCGCTGGTTTCTCCTCTTCTCGTTGTTTCATTTGAGGTCGAGATTCACCGAAAGGTAAGCGATCTTGGCTCGCCCTCTTTCCTTGGTTCTTCTCTTCCTTGTTGGCTTGATCACTCTACCTCTAATCGCAGCACAGTTCCTCTGGTTTGTGATCAGGAGGGAGAGGTGGTGTCGCGCGAAAGCTGATCGCCGGTTCGGGAGGTTAGGGTTCTTTTTCGTCTTTACCTCTTTGATCTTATATTTTTGCGTGTTTCTTTTACTTCCTGTATATGCGTTTACGGTTTAGTGTCGTTCACCGAGATGGCATGTGAATGTTGAATTTGGTTCTTGTTCCTCGACTTGTGTTTTGATGAAGATCAGATTACTTTGTTCTTGATGGTGGTGATTTGGGTGTTGGTGTATTAGGACGGATATGGTTTTCAAGCAATGCTGAGTATAGATGGCACATTAGTCGCTTCATAGTGATCGTTACAATGCAACATCAGTATTCACTAATAAGATCGTTGCAATGCAATTCATTAGTCACTGAGTGCCGCTGAACTCTTGAAGCCTGATAGACGTGGTTGTTGTAGTTGCTGTGCGAAGGATTGAAGAAGCCGACGAGATTATTTCAGTTCTATATTTGGTGTTAGTTGGAACAGTATAGTAAAGTGGTAAATTAATATTAAATTTGCGCCTGTGTTTTGTATATTGTAAACTCAGACTTTCTTGGAGTCATTAGAGAGGACGGTTTAAACTTTAGCGATGTATGGAACAAAACTATGATATATTGGCTTATTTTGAGCTATGGACGGGGGAACTAGTTATTTATATGACATTGCATGATGGAAACGATAAATCAGTAAGTTCTCAATATTAATTAGAAGTTTGAACTTTAAGCATTAGAAGGACTGGGTAAGATGCTTTGTTGTGGCATCAAATTTTAAATAATGAGTTCAATTTATGTTCCAGAAGTTGGGTTTTCAGATTTGGAGTTATGTTAAACTTTGAATGTGCTTATTCATGTATGCACTGGCAGACGGTAATATACAGATGTAGGATCTCTTACCGGGAGTTATATCAGGCATACAATTTTAGCTTTCTGGAAACATAATAGCAAGATGATTTTTGTTCATTTACCTTTCATGTTTTGCTTTTGATTCGATTTGAGTAGTTTAAATTATCTTGTGTTTCTGACTTGGAGGAACATTTAAATGAGTATTCACCAACTTTAAACCCCTTTAGCCTACCCTGTTTTGGGTTAGCTTTTAACTGATTTGGTTGCGAGTGCATGGAAATTTCTGTCTGCAATTGTGAATGATTCCAGTTATGCCATAGGATTCCTAATTTGAAATCTAAAATTGTGACACTGATTCATTTTCAATATTGTTTGATCCTATTCCTGTCATGAATTTCCGTCACCCTTTTGTTCTCAATCAGTGTCAGCTATCATTTAATGAATGTTACACTTGTTCCCAATCAGTGTCCTGTTCTTTATGCAACATTGCTGTGGAATAGATGGCTACTGATGAACAATAACAATCACATCTAGTGTCTGCTGCATAAGACGTCATAAATTTTCTTTGATTTGCTGCTCTGGTTCCAATTTACACACCATTGAGTTCTGCAACAGTGTAAATGACTCGCTGGGTGTGACATCTTGCAAAAATGTTGGTTACCTCCATTGTCTATCAAGGATCTCGTTATTCTTCCATCATCTTGTAAGTATCTCAGCTACCCACTGTCTCATTAATTTTGTTCCGTCAGTTGTACTCACCATTTACTTTCCTGCTGCATCTAGTTTCTACATTTCCTAAGCTTAATGATTTTTTTCATAAGCATTGAATAACATTTGAAGCACTATAGTAGTTACGTAGTGCTAAATCATGACCCTTCTATCTTCTTGTGTTCCTTGTTATCGTTGCTTCAAGTTTTAGAAGAGATCAATTTCTCGTGTTTGGGCTTGGCTTAGCCTCAAATTTACATTGCTTGACTTCAGAGTCGCTTTGAGCTCGAAGGTGACTTGAAGGGAGCCAAGGAGCCCAGGTCTTGGACTTGGAGGATATCAGGCCGGACTGGGTCAAGTGAAGGACATTATCATGGTGCGACCAATGTAGTTAGTAGCCTTTTCAAGTCACCGAGTAGGTGGATGGCGAGGTTTACTTACAGGCGAAAGCGTAATTATCCACGCAAATTAGTATTGGAGGTTGTCGATCAATCATCCAAAATCTCAATGATAGATGCGACAGCTCTGTTAAACAGAGAGTTAGATTTTGATAGATCGTCAGGTTAGAGAGAATGATTGTAAAGATAAAAAGGGGTAAGATGGAAGAGAGGAAGAGAGAGTTTTAGAGAGAGAGAGAGAGTGCAAGGCGCGGATTGGCTTTGCGTTTCCGATCTAATTTGATTATCTAAATCATTATAGATAACTACAAGCGAGGTAGTCATGTTGTAGTTATCTAAATCATTATCTAGCTTGTAGTTATGTCGTCATATTATTTGTGATATATAAACTGGTTTAACTAAATACTATTGGGCTTTTACTAAGCCCAGCATGAACTAACTAGGCCATCATCTTTATTCGTCGTTTGGGTTTGGCTCTCATGCTTTACAAGCAGAAAATTGTTTCGAGTTTCAGCTATTCACGAACATCACCCTGGACTTAGATCGTTGGTCGGTCCATATACGTCTTAATCGGATATAGACGCCATAAGGAAAACAACTGATAGAAGGGCGGACTTGTAGATGGCATGATGGGACTTGCAATTATAAAAACTATGCTTTGTGTTTGGGTGCATGCGTCCATGTGAAGAGATCAACTCCGACCAAAATGTGGATATCTAATTTGAATGGAATATATATCATAAACTAGTGCTAGAAAAGACATCTACGGGACATTGGAGCTTCTGACATTGAAAAATTAGCTTTTGTGTTTGTGTTTGTGCTTGTCATTGTGCACGTCTAGTGTAGCGTCCTCTGTTCTTTAGGAATGACAGTGTACTGGGGGTTTTCTGGATATATACCCCCTACTCAGCCCTTATTAAATCATCATGTTGGGGTACTTTTTAATTGGGTTTGAGACAGGTTTATATTCAACTTCAACTTGATCCAGGTTCTAGTAGGGTTAGCAAGTGTATTGCTCATTCTAATTCGTGTTAAATGATGGTATGATGATATATCGTTGTTTTAGTTTCGAATAAGGAAAATAGGTGGTTGAGTTGGATTTCGTTATGGATTCTAGTCTTTAATCAAATTCGAGTTGAAGTAGGGTATATCGACCATTGCCTTCATGGTATCTGGGAGGCTCACGTGTCTTTTGGGGATTGTTTGGTCGTGAAGTACCATGTTTGTTTTGGTCAACTCCAGAACCGTAATCCAGGCTAGAAGTCCACTGTCCAAGAGATGTGGCTGATCATATATCGGCCCCTTCAAAGAAGTGATGTTCTCTTTACCAGCCTAATCAGCAAGGTATTGGAGACGCCACTTCCAAGTATCTCATTTACCATCATGCTTCGGTTGGGCCTCGTCTGCTTCATGGCATCACGGCCGACGCATTTGCTATGGTGTTAAAAGTCCACATTGCTTCCAAACCTCCACTAATTTTGACCCTCAACGGATGGATAGATTGTGCTAGCTGGTAGACGTCGACATTTCAATCCATCAGACGAGCACTACTGATCACATGTTCTCCACCAATCGACGAATAGTTCTATAGTGGGATGGTCTGATTGTGCCTTTCCCGTGGCTCGGTCAACTGCCCTTCCCCTCTTTGAATATCATTCGACACACAAAGATATTCTTTAACGGCGTCGATTTGATTGGATGTTATTATAAACATAAGATCCGATTGATTCCTTGTGCTCTACCACCAAAGTGTATGCACCACCTAGTGGCTGTAATCAGTTATCAATCTCCAGTCAGCAGCAGTTCCTTGCTGCCGCTGATGTTTATTGTGATGATCCGAATGTTGCTCTTTCATTTTTGTATATCTTTTGGGCATTCTAGAAATCCATCATAGTATTTTATCGGAGGGGCGAGGATCATTAGAGAGGTTATGACGTCACAATCTAAATCCGAAGGTTTCATTGATCAAAACGCTGAAAAATAGTAATAATAAGGTCTTCTTTTAGGTTAAATGTATGACTCATATACATCGTAAACTTAAATTAGATGGTCATCGGGATGCAGATTAGATCCCATTGTCGTTCATACTACGCGAGTGTCTTGTTGCTCTTGTATCGTATCATACCTCACCAGTGGCTTGGAACCACATGGACGAGATAAGTCAACTCAAAATATCTATTTTGGGTGGAAACTTGCTCATATCATCACAGGCCTCAGTCCAAATCCCATTTGGGACTACTTTTTAGATATGATATGCTTGCCTAGGAAGCCACTTTGTGAAGCACACTCTAAGATTTGGTCGCATGTTGACTTTGTCCAAGGAAGTATAATGAAATCGAAGATCATTTGAGCCATGTGATGTTGCTGCCTGTGATTCCACTTTCACAAGTAGACTTGATCAGAAAGTGGCTGACATAAATATTCTAGCGTCTGACTTTTGAAACCTCTTCCTCTTTCGTAGTAATTTAATTGAAGTCAACCTTCCATTGATGCCGCCGCCCACTTCAGATGGGTTCAGTATTAGGGAATTATTTCTAGTGTTGTTTTGCTTATCCTTCTAGGGATTAGGGTTGCTCACTTCCCGTTAGCCTCCATTCTGAAGGGCAGCTTTGCCGACCAATGGATGAAGTGGGAGGTGTTTGAGTGGCCACTTCCTCCCCTTTCCAATTATGTCCTTTAATGACACAAAAGTTCGAATAAGGTTGAGGGACTTCAACTATAACTCCGTGTCTATAAAGAAGACTAGCATGGGATATCAGTGTGGACATTGGATTATGCAATTTTGAGAATGGACCGTGATTGGTGAGGTTTCGGGAGAATGACTTAATCTAACCTTTGACTGCCAACCAGCAGATGCTGGTGTCTTTTCTTGTTTGTCGGATGGTGCTGTATGATTTACCATCATCTCTTTCGTCACACTCCTCCGTGGTCTTCAGCAGACGATGTTGAGGCAGATAATTTACTTTAGTCAAAAGTATCATCATATTCTTGATGAGTTGACGTCTGACATCCCAAGAGTGTCTGGACTATAAGATGGATGGGTTTGTGTGTCATATAGTATTCATATGGGCGACGACAACTATAATAAAAATAGCCACGATATATTCTTTCTTTACTCTTCCGAGGCGTGACGTGAGTTATACTGAAAGAAGCAGCCACGACATTCGACAGTCAAAAGTATTGCGTATGACAGTATGATAAAGCATATGCAATGCAATTTGAATATTGAGAATACTTAATTACATATAAGCTGCACAATCCAATATGAACCACTGATAGCTAATGCATTGGGTTTAAATATAAAATTTATAGTTGAGACACCTCAAAACTCAAAAACTCTTAATGAATACGACAACTTATCATCTTTTAAATTTTAGATATTTGGTCTTTTCAGGTTCTATCAACCTCTTCACCTAGTTGTGTATCTAAAGTATTACATGAGCTTTTTTATTTATAAAGGAGTAAACTCAAGTATTTGATTTCAATTATGATAAAAACTTTTATTTCTATTAAGACTCCTAAACAATCTTATCTAATCACAAAATTTATTTTATATTCTAACTTCCTCTCATAAATTAAATTTTATAAAAAAAATATTATGAAAAGCCTTAAAGCTTGATGTAATCTCCTTTGATGTTATTGCTATACGTAGTATTCTTTTGACTATCTAAATTTTGAATTACATAATCTATAATAGTCATCATATGCTCAATTTATCTTAATTGATTGATAAATTGTAAAACTTTGATTTGTTTAGAGTAGTAGAGTTTTTGAACCAACCTTTAAATCTGAAATTAGTTTGATCAACATAATCATCTCCACATATATCTTACTTTCTTATCATAGAATATTCATTTGCCTTTAACCGTTATCTTAAATAATAATGATCTTTATATCAACACTAACATCTTCCTCTGTATGTTAAATAGTTGGTTGTGTATTTTTGTCTATCTCATAAGGAGGTAAAAATACTTTTATACTTTTGATAAAAATAAAATTATCTGTTCTGATAAATTATAAAACTCATTTATTTAAAATTATCAAATTTCTTGAATCATTTTTCAAATACGAAATTAATCTGATCAATATGATCATCTGCACATATATCTAACTTATCATAGAAAATTTATCAACTTTTGGATCTTGAACAATAATGATCTTTATATCAACATTAACAACATCCTCCTTTGTACCTTTCATAGTTGGCTTTGTAATTTTTTCTTTTCTTATGGGGAGGTAAGAATACTTTTATGTTTTCATGAAAAGAAAATTATTTGCTCCAACAAAATTAATGTTATCCATATCGTAATTTGATTTTGTTTTTGCAAGATCTCAATTTAGTCTCTTTTAATTTTGTATCATTTATCTTTGATTTAGCTTAAGCTATTAGATTGTTAAATAGATTCAAATATATATTATCTAACTCGATATTTATCAATATCAAATGATTCTCTTAATCTTTTTCTAATCTCCTCATATTTGAATATCTTTTTAACAATCTCTTATTATTCATACGGCTCAATCATTAGATAGGTGGTCCGACTAACTCCATCCATAGCCTTAGCTTAGTAAGTGATATGATTAACTTTGTTTGCAA